GGGGTCGAACTGTTGAGTTTAGACCATTACAACTTGCAAGAGGGGCCCAAGGGCCAAGGGCATGGGGCCTTGCGAAGGGTTAAGACTGACGCACGGCGGTGGACCGATAAGTACTCACAATAATTCCCTGCCACCATGGTGGACTATGTTAAAGTAGGGACGTAGTTAAGCTTAAGGCTTTAGTTGTGTCACTGTCACTTTGTAGCTATTGGCATTTGGCAAATCTGTGAAATTTAGAGACCATGCTCAAAGAGCTGTTAGCTTGTTTTCTATCTTTCATTAACAGCCCAATACAATATCAAAATTTTTTAGCACAGAATGGCACGTTATGACCTTTGTGAATCCCAGCCAAGCAAGTAGTGTCAGTCTGTCAGAGCATCATCAGATTCATCACCCATGATGTCATTAGTCTCTCTTAGGTCACCTTCTATAATGGCACTATTTGTGGGTCTCTGCATATAATCATATGCAGCTAACCTAACTCTAGAGGCACTCACGCCTTAGACTCTGGCACTCATCACAACACGCAGTTGCAGTGTCGTAATACTCTATCTCCAAAGTCTTGGACTCTGGCACTCATCACAACACGCAGTTCGGCAGTTGCAGTGTCCGAGTATCGTAATACTAAATACTCTATCTCCAAAACTCCTGCACATACTGTGCCGGTATTGTGTAACTTCTACCTACTGTATCCTGTAAACCTATCTGTAGTATGTATTTACTCCAAGATACACATCTTGCTTTATCCTTCCCTGGCCAATCAATGTATATTAATATGTTATTCAGATAATCATAAGTTCAAAACGGAACCCAAAACCCCTCAGATTTTCTACTATTGATTTATAGATCTTAGACTGATCAATTTATCAATTAACATCCAGGTTATATATACCACTGGAACCGGTAACCTGACCGTAGTGAAGTAGAGAACAGAAATTTCTCAAAAAACAAAATGGCCTCATCATACATAAATCAAGTTTTTTTGATCATTTCCAAACACAAGCCACTCAAATTAAGCTGTCAGTTGGGTAGATTTTTCAAAATAAGTGCCTCCTGTGGGCTGAAACAAAAGCTGTCTGTCTGCTACTTGGTTGTTTTGTTCCATTGGTCTGCATGTGATTTGTGCACATACCTATTGACAATGCCTGCAGCCCCAGGCCTGGGGAACTTGGGAAGCCATACAAGGGTCAAGAGACCAGGAAAAAGGTTAAGCTCTCAGGAAAATGCTCAGTCAAGGCGGCGCATTGCCAGGAGTTCCATCATCAGACGAAGAAAGTTAAGTATGGGAGCACAGCTGAGCACCAAAAACTGCTCTGACCACTGTCCAAACTCTGACAAGCGACAGAACACGGACGGAGTCAGACAACCCAACTGCCAAACTTGTGTCGAATAAAAGGTTCATCATCTGCATGATCTGTGGCAGAGAACCTGGTGATTCTGTAATTTTGAGAGCTGGAAAATGTAATAGATTATCTGAGAGCCACCATATATTACTGGTGCAATAAGGACCGGAACCTTTAATATTACATTTACTCTAGTCACTTGACCCATAGCATTTGAAACAGATCTACCCATTGTCAGCCCCTAAATTTTCATTGCAGGTCTCTCGCGCATGAATTAGGCAAATCACCTTCAACCTGCCACCACCACTAAATTTGTCAAATGAGCATCGTTCTTGACCAAATTTAAAACGAAACTATTAAATCACAGTATTATAGTGCAAACTTACAAGCTTTAGTCTTGTGATAATGATTACAAGTTTGTTATATGTGTTCTTGTAGAAAGTGGAGTTGAGATCATGTAGTGGCACAGTATCACTGTATCAGTGCTTGACTATTTCCATGTGACCACCCTAACCTCCCACCATTACATATGAAGGAAGAAATAATCTTTTAATAGCAATAATCTCACGCAGCTATGGGCAGTGCTCACCTCAGTCTCCTGGTACTAATTTTTGTTGCTATTAAATGCAGAGTTATTATAAACACACTTATTTTCAATATTTCTAATTCTAAATCAACATTTCTAATTGTAAACTATGGTAATCATACCATAATTATCTTGCCCCCCCCCGTAATACTGCGCATTGAATAGAATATTTATTACCGTCAACCGGGGCTACTCGGGACAGGCGGGGCTACTCGGGACAGGCAGGGCTACTCGGGACAGGCCTATGACACGGCGTAAAACTGTTGTAGTAGCAAAACTAATTGGAATATTGCAAAACTAAAAATAGTGGCGTAAACGTAACTATTTTTCCTATCTAGTATAAAGGAAGTAGAAAAATACTACATTTACTTGCTTTGAAAAATTCCTGAAAAAAATGGTGAAAAACTATGTTTTGTAAAGTTACAACTGCTAAGGTATGTAGCAAAAAAAATATTCGCCGTATTAAAAATTTTTACTTACATAAAAGTTGCTCCCAGGTGTCGGCTTGAAAACGTAATTGACAGAATTTGCCTATCTAATTCCAAAAAGAAATGGCAGCCATTTCCGCACGGCGGGGCTACTCGGGACACCCCCCCGGGGCTATTTGGGACACCCCCAAAAACGCATTAAGGGTAGAACCTCAGTTAGCAAAGGCTTCAATTACGAAAAAAATTGATTAAAAACAAAGAATATTGATCACATTTTCCTTGCTCAGCAAAAAATTTCACTTATCGAAAAATTAGTGCATCATCAGTCATCTTAAAATTGTGCATTGCATGTCATGTATAGAATTGTGCACCAGGCATTATAGAATGAAAAGTAATTGACCTAAACTATGATTTATTTATCCAAAAGATAGGCTGGTTGTCACTAAAACATTCCTTTCAGGAAGTTGATGATCACTCGAAGTTAATGATCACGCAAAGTTAATGATCACGGGAAGTTAAATACCACCTGAAGTTAATTATCACGCGAAGTTAATGACCACGTGAAGTTAATGATCACGGGAAGTTAATGATCACGCGAAGTTAAATACCATGTGAGGTTAATGATCACGGGAAGTTAATGACCACGTGAAGTTAATGATCACGGGAAGTTAATGATCACGTGAAGTTAATGATCACGCGAAGTTAATGATCACGTGAAGTTAATGGTCATGGTAAGTTAATGATCACGTGAAGTTAATGATCACGCGAAGTTAATGATCACGGGAAGTTAATGATCACGTGAAGTTAATGGTCATGGTAAGTTAATGATCACGTGAAGTTAATGATCACGAAGTTAATGATCACGGGAAGTTAATGATCACGCGACGTTAATGATCACGCGAAGTTAATGATCAAGCGAAGTTAATGATCACGGGAAGTTAATGACCACGCGAAGTTAATGACCACGCGAAGTTAATGATCACGTGAAGTTAATGACCACGCAAAGTTAATGACCACTGGAAGTCCCAATTAAAATGATGTGAAATTACAAGCCTTCCTGTAAGCTTACAGATAGGAAAAAAATGTTATAAGGCTGCTGATATGAAGCTTGCAATGGACAAGGTTGTTGTAAATGCTCAATGGCATGTTCATGGATACGGTAATATCACATCAATAATACGATAATGTCACATCAAGAATACGGTAATTAATGTATATGGCAATATCATATCAATAAAGGAAAAACAAGTAAAAATCACAGAAAATGTCATTTATTCTACCTCTACATCATCTAAAATGAAAGAGGAGGACTTCAGAGTACTGTTAGTAATGGATGAGTACGTTCTGCATGCTTCAAATGTTTTGAAATGAAGTTTTATTCCCGTTGTCCCGAGTAGCCCCAACCGACGAGGCTACTCGGGACAATCTCTATTTTGCGTCTGGCACCTTACGAATAGCATATGGAATTTTTTTGACAACGCCATTTGATAGCCCTGCCAATCAGCTATAAAATGAGACTAAACTTGTTTATGAAATGTTTCATCATAAGAAGTTATTAACTGTTATTTAAAACTAATCATTCAAATCTGTCCTGAGTAGCCCCGGTTGACGGTAGTTTAGTTGAGTAAATGGAAAAATTATGACTTGAGACTTATGCTAAATTATCTCATGTTTACAGAACTCCAAATACCAAAGTATCAGAAACTTCTACCTATTATTGTCACTAACTTTGCAATTTTGTCACAGCACTTATGTTGCTACTGCAGGCCTCCAAGAGAAGCAATCTATGGTGAAGCAAAACTTCAAAACTGAGGCAAAACATTCTAGTGCAATAGGGATGTTGAAAAAGCATTTGAGTTATAATGTGGCATTCAAACCTGACAAATCATAAATCTGACCCATATTATTCAATTTTTATTGACAAACAGCAAGTTAAGTTAGGCAGTAGCTGCAAACTGGTAATTTATGTGATATTGACAATAGGTAGGTCTAGAAAGGCCATCAAGCTTGTTTCTGTTACCATCTGGAAATAATAAGTACCCATATGAAGTGTCCTATCACCATGAAATGAAAAATGTTTTGCTTTCAATATGTGACTTGTGTTTATTTTTGCACCTAACTTTACTTCAATTGAATTAACTAAAATTTTCAGAAGAAATAATCCGGCTCTTTTGAAAATAAATGTTCAATTAAATTTTTCCATATTTTTAAATATCTGCTTTTGAATTTATTTTGATAAAAATGTTAATTGCTGCCATAGAGAAATGCGCAGCAATACTTCCCTGTGTAATCAGCAGGAAGGTTGCTTTGCCGACCATCTCATGGAGCCTCACTAGCAGAAATTATTTCAACTGTCCGCCCACTATGTCTTCACTTCATGCCAACAACCAGTGGTCAGTTAATGATTAGTGTTTAAGATTGTCTAATAATTATTCGACTTTTACTAATGATGATTTTTCTGATTGTTTTGAATACTGGTAGTATCAATATTTTCAGTCCTTGATCTTGTTTACCTCTCTTGCCATCATTTAATTATATGAAGCATGTTTTTTAAGTTAGTACCATTTTGGAATTAAAAAAGACATGCAAAGATATTGCAATAATTTTATTTTTTACATGAAAGCCTGTAGCTTATTCTACTTTTCTACATAATTTCTGTGAATATTGAGGCACTTGTCATAACCTTGCTGACAAGTCAGGTGACAGATTTATCAGGAGGGTGTTCAAAAACTGGTGTCACGTTATGACAAGTGCCTCAATATTCACGGAAATTATGTAAAAAATTAATTAAGCTACAGGCTTTCATGTAAAAATAAAATTATTGCGATATCTTTGCATATCTTTTTTAAATTGCAAAATGGTACTGACTTAAAAAACATGTTGCGTAGGTCATTTAGATGACTTGTTTCAATTATTCTTGATTATTTATGTGTATTTTACATATTTGTTCATCTATTTTTGTCTTTATTATAAATTTTTAAAAATTATTCTTTGTTTGTTATTTTTCTTCAATTTACATTTATTTTTCATTATTTTTCAGTTTTCCTCCTGCTTCTTTCTTTTACTATGGTAAGTATTGTTATCTATCTTCCCTAACTTGATCTTGAATAAATTCTTAAATTAACTATTTTTGAAAATATATTGTTGCAATTTACATGATGACTTTGACTAATTTCTATTCTTTTAGCTTTAATGTGTGTTAATGCATTATCAGGCAAGTTATCAACACTAGCTATCCATGCATCATAGTGGCAAAGGAAAACATTTTTTGTTGCTCTTCCTCAAGTTCATTTTTGAGTTCTATAAGTAAACCAGTAAGTATTTTGGATATCAGCATTATCCTACATACAAAATTGATTAAAATGTTGAATAGATGAGGAAATTAAAAATGAACTGATTCTAAAAAATCTCTGGTTTGCTTCTATGGCTTGCATCTCAGATTTGATACCATAATTGCCCATTTTTTCAATAAATATTATCAATTGCAGGAAGTTTGAGAAAATTCTCAAGTTCCCTTGAAAGTCAATCAGTGGGAATTACTCCAGTAGTAGCATCAGTTCATGATCATGGCAGTCGGATTGAAGTGCGTGCAAAGAACTGGCCAAACTCTCTGCACATTCCCCACGTGTGGCTCCGTGACCACTGCCGCTGTGCTCAGTGCTATGACCCAAAAACTTTTCAGTGCAATTTTGATGTGGCCACCATGCCTCTAAATATCAGGCCTTCCAAAATTGCACTTCTTCAAGATGAACTTCATCTTACTTGTAAGTTACTTGTTAGCAAGTCTTTGACCATCAGAACATATTAGGTAGCTTTTCTGCCAGAGGGATATTATTTTATTGGCCAGACATATTACCTTCATCCAACTGCATACTTTAGTTAAATAATTTGTATATAGTGACTAGGACTTAAGTGCCACACACTCACTCACACTACTTGCTCAATCACACTACTCGCTCAATCAAGCTTCTTACTTGCTCATGCTACTTACTTGCTCATGTTACTTACTCGCTCATGCTACTCACTATACTCACTTCACTCCTGCCACTCACTCTAGCCACTCACCTCACTCCTGCCACTCACTCTACTCACTCCTGCCACTCACCCTACTCACTCCTGCCACTCACCCTACTCATTCCTGCCACTCACTCTACTCACTCCTGCAACTCACTCTACTCACTCCTGCCTCCTGCCACTCACTCTACTCACTCCTGCCACTCACTCTACTCACTCCTGCCACTCCCCCTACTCACTCCTGCCACTCCCCCTACTCACTCCTGCCACTCACTCTACTCAGGGCCAGACGGCCATGAGTCACGCTACACGCTGCAGTTCCTGTGGCACCACAGCCACGGGGGCCACACCTCCCATGCCAGGGACACGCGTGTTGCCTGGAGCGCCAAGACATTCCCACCTCTCCACCAAATTTCTGTTAGTTAATAAGTATTATATTTGTATCTTTACCAACACTTCATTACCTAACGCATAAACTATAAAAATAGTAGCGCAAATTATTGATTGCTATTTATATAAGAATATAAAGTTAACCTTCTAAAATATTTATTTGTGTTGAGCCTAGTCAGTACTACATGGCATCTCAACTGCCTCAAGTGTCATTGCATATCATTCTGATGTATTGTCTATCAAATACTTTAATTAATATAATAGGTATATTACGCCATTTAACGAAAGTCCTTATTACTGGATAACGAGTGTTTTTTTTATACCTACATGATTCTTAATGAATATGAGTCTTTAATGAATAATTCTTGGATTGGTGTACATGATAGTACTTTATAACAAAAATGCACTGTTTTTTATTGTATGACTCTGGCTGGTCAGTTGCTCACTATTATTTTTCACAATTGGCCATCATCATTTAGATCGGCTTTTGTTATAGTTTGCTTTAGGTATATACTTATCAGTCAAGTGTGCAGGTGCCCGAGAGTACCATATCAGGCCCAGGTCTGCGTAAGGTCTTTACGCTCTTGGAACAGTACGGCGTAGCTCTCATAACCGAGGTGGGTTGGGTGATGAATGCCTTGTTACACTCATCATCTTATCATTGATATCTTGTCTTCTGCTATAATATTTTATACAAACTTATCCTTATTATTAAGGTTCAAGAACACATGCCACATCATATTTGTCATTGAGATACCTATTGCCTTCTGCTATATTATTTTATATAAACTTATCCTTATTGTTAAGGTTCAAGAACACATGCCACATCATTGAGATCTTGCCTTCTGCTATAATATTTCAATATAAACTTATCCTTATTATGAAGGTTCTGGAATTCATGTCACGTTACATTTTTTCATTGAGATCTTGTCTTCTGCTATAATATTTCAAACGATCTAATCCTTAATGTGATCATTTTGGAAGAACTAAACTTTTGGCACCCCAAATAACGCCATAGGTAACTGATTTTCAAGCTATTCAACAATTAACTTGCTTTTGACAATTATTTGCTTTCTGAAATAATAGCCTGAAACAATAAAATCCCAAGAATATTTTGCTATATATGAAATTTTTCAAACAAGTTGCATCACAATAATTCTTTTGAAAGCTTAGCCACAGCAATATTCTCAATGAAACCATCCATTGTGTACACAAAACCTTATGCCAAGCTGCCCTTAGAATCGTTTTATTTATATTTAACTTCAGTTCCAGTACATTTGATACAAATAGCATTGACCATGGTCAGCATATTAAAAATTAAGTCATACAAATTCTGATTTGAAAGTGAATATGTGATGCAATACCAGGCCTTCAGATACGAACTGCAATAATGGTTACTGTATTTGTAAATAAAGTTCCGTAGTAGATGAAGTCTTGAAAAATATCTTAAGAGTCTTAATAAATTGCATGGGAGTCATGAAAAATCTCACATTAGTCTTAAAAAATCTTGTGGGAACCTCGAAAAAATGTCATGTTGTTACCGGGGAGCTTTTGTGGCTTGTGCAGCACAGCCTATCTGTGCTTATTTATCCATGTTATTTGCCTCCGGCCTTGCCTTTACCTCACCGCAATGTCTTTTTCCTCTTCTGTTTCAGTCTCTGTTACAGATATTCATTAACTATAAAGCTGAGGCTAATGAATATGACACTCAGCTGTGTAACAGAGCGGTCTGACAGTCCTGTCCACTTGTGCTTAGCCATGCTGGTTAGTGGGTGTTCACTCTTGTATGTTTATTTTTGGTCTGCATGTTAATTTACTTGTGTTTTCTGTAAATAAGGAATTGGTTCATGTTTTACTATGGTCAATACTGTATTTTCTTGTGGTTTCTATTTTAAACAACTGGTCAGCTATACTTACCTACTTAATTATCTGTCATTGCATTGTTTAAATGTACCTATTCAGCTTGCAAACTCTTTAGGCTTTAGGTCCTTTGGTTTTACTTAAATTGCTTCATAAGACATGGGTTCCATTTAATTATGACTATGTCCTCTGCTTGTTTTGTTAAGGTTAACTGATAAGTCATTTGCATTTACTCTAGTGTGGAGGCTTAATTACAAATTAATCCTTTCAATCTCTGATTTTCAAGTAATATACTATCATTTACTATTTTATTAGTCTCATGTATTTTTCAGCTGTCACAGTACCGTAATGTTAAGTCCACCTTAACCCAGCCTGTACTCTCCTCTTCATTAGTGGTTTTTAGATTTTATCTTGCCTGTTGAGAATCTTAGTTTTCATTCATTTTGTAAATCTGTGCCGACCTCATTCATTTGTTATTGTTTCTAAATAAAATTTAAAACCTTACAGTTTTCAGAGCATAAATTTAGACAAGCATTAGCCCTTCCACAATATGCAATATTTCTTGTTGTTGTGGCCCCTCCCATTTGCTAGAAGAGGGGTTAAGTTATTACTCACGGTGCACTTAAACTCTCACCATAACAATGTGAGTCTCAAAAATCTCATGAGTCTTGAAAAATCTCACTTATATCTGATAGGAGTATTAAAAAGTTCATGGAGTCTTAAAAATCTCACGAGAGTCTTAAAAATCTCATAAGCCTTGAATAATTTCATGGGAGTCTTGAAAAATCTGATGGGAGTCTTAAGAAATCTCATGGTAGTCTTAATGAATTTCTTGTGAATTTAAAAAAAATTCATGGGAATCTTAAAAAATATCATGTCTTACAAAATCTCACAGAGTGTTAAAAAATCTCAGGTGTCATAGAAAATATGGAAGTTTTAAAAAATCTCATGGGAGTTTTTAAAAAACCTCATGGGAGTCTTGAAAAATCTCTTGGTAGTCTTAAAAAAATCTCACAGGAGTCTTAAAAAATATGGAAGTTTTACACTATCTCATGGGAGTCTTAAAAAAATCTCGTGGGAGTCTTAAAAATATTTCATGGGAGTCTTAAAAAATTTCATGGGAGTCTTGAAAAATCTCATGGGAGTCTTAAAAAATCTCCTGGGAGTCTTAGAAAATTTTGTGGGAGTCTTAAAAAACCTCATGGGAGTCTTAAATAAATCTTGTGCAAGTCTCAAAAAACCTCATGGGTGTCGTAAAAATATGGAAGTTTAAAAAAAATCTCATGGGAGTCTTGAAAAATCTCATGGGAGTCTTAAAAAATCTCACGAGAGTCTTAAAAAAATCTCATGAGAGTCTTCAAAAAATCTCGTGGGAGTCTCGGAAAATTTTTCATGAGTCTTACAAAATCTCATGGAGTGTTAAAAAATCTCACGAGAGCCTTAAAAAATCTCTTGTGAGTCTCGAAAAATCTCATGGGTGTCTTAAAAAATATGGAAGTTTTAAAAATCTCACAGGAGTCTTAAAAAATCTCATGGGAGTCTTAAAAAAACTCCTGAGTGTCTTAAAAAAACTCCTGGGTGTCTTAAAAAAACTCCTGGGTGTCTTAAAAAAAGTCATGGGTGTCTTAAAAAAATCTCATGTGAGTCTTAAAAAATCTCATTTAAAGGTGAGTCCGGACTTGGACTCGACCATCGCAGTGAGTAACCACATCGGCCCAACTCTGAAGACCTTCTACGGGGACACGTGGGTAGTGCGGGCTAATGGCGAGAGAGCTGACGCTGCGTATACGAGGGTGGCCCTGGGGGCCCATACAGACGGCACTTACTTCACACAGGCGCCGCGGTGAGTACTTCACACAGACGGCACTTAATTCACACAGGCGCCGCGGTGAGTACTTCACACAGACAGCACTTACTTTACACAGGCACTTACACAGACGGCACTTACTTCACACAGGCGCCGCGGTGAGTACTTCACACAGGCCCACACAGACGGCACTTACTTCACACAGGCGCCGCGGTGAGTAATGTATTATTGTATTGTATGTATTATTGTATTGTATGTATTATTAAGTATTTGTGTGTGCAGCGTACAAGTGTTCCATATGGTGGAGGCAGCGCCAGAGGGCGGGGAGACGCTGCTAGTGGATGGCCTCAGAGTCGCACAAGTCATGCAGACCAAACATCCTGATGCTTATGACTTCTTCTCCACACATGTATGATATTCATTAATATTTCTTATCTTATATGATGTTGATTAATATTTGTTATCTTATATGATGTTAATCATTATTTGTTACTTTATGTGATGTTAATTATTATTTCCTATCTTAAATGATGTTAATTAATATTTTATCTTAATTTTAAATTATCACAAATCACTCTTGTCAACGTAGGTATAGACAAAATTTTGTGTCTGTGATTGGTGAATTTGTTTACATTATATTTTGTTTTGTTTTGTCCTTTTCGATTTAATTAGTATGTCAGTAGAATATAATTTATTTATTATGTCATAATATCTTTGACTGATGATGGTAGTGACGCCGCGTAAAAAGTTCTTGCTGAACTTCGTTGATGAAATAATATGTGATGTGTGTGAATATGTGAATATATGTGTGTGTGAATAATATGTGAATAATATGTGAATGAATAATATGTGATTGATGTGATTACAGGCCATTCCTGGCCAGTATATAGGAGACGGTCAGCAGCAATACGCTCTACTCAAAACCTTCATTCACCATCCTGTCACCGGAGCCTTCCAGCAATTCAGGTACTAATCAATTAAAAATCTTACTTATGTTTTTTTAGATTAAAATCACTTGTTTGCTTAAATCTGAAGTTAACCAGGAATTTAAAAGCAAAAGCAATACCACAAAAATTCGCCATATCTTTATAAGAGAAAACGTTTCGGAGTCCAGCTCCATCGTCAGTTCACAAAATTCAGTTCAGAAGTTTAGTCCTAGAAACACTAGATTATATTTATAGCAACAGTGCGACTCGTATGAAATGCTCTCACGGTGTATAGAAAATAGTTCAATTTATTAGTATTTATCGATGTGATGGCATTAAAATACTACCTATATACTACATAACCTTTATGATCGCGCGACTTTGAGCACCATGATTGTGATATGAACCACCGTTTCAAGAATTCCATCTTCTGGACAATATTAACCATTCATTTTTCTGAGTTTAACTTTATTGATGGTATTTGTGTTCAGATACAACCTGTATGATGTAATTCTGTTCTCTTACAGACTTCGATTGCTTTATCTAGTACTATTATTTCATTTTTGTACTGTTTTTAAGCAGAGTTGCCAGACGGTCATTTTTTTCTGGACAAATTCCGCGATTTAGTCTCACTTTATTGGTATAATTTGTGTTCAGATAAAACCTTTGATGGTATTTGTGTTCAGATACAACATTTATGATCGCGCGACTTTGAGCTCCCTAAGCGTGATATGAACCATCCTTTCAAAGATATCAACCATCTTGCGGACAATGTTGACCATTAATTCATCTGAGTTTAATTTTAATGATGTAATTTGTGTTCAGATACAACCTGTATGATCGCGCCCCTTTGAGCTCCCTGAGGTGATATGAACCACCGTTTCGAGATTACCATCTTGGAGAATTCCATCTTATGGACAATATTAGACATTAATTTTTCGGAGTGCACTTTATTGATGACAACCTTATTGATGGTATTTGTGTTCAGATACAACCTTATTGATGTATATTGTGTTCAGATCAGGGTTGGTGAATTTTTTTATTATTTTTTTAAAAATCAAAAAGATAAAAAATCAATAATTTTTTTTTCATGATTTTTTTGTTTATTTGATTTTTTATTTCTGTCAGCTTTTTTGTATTTTTGAAGTGTTATTTTTTATGTTGCAATTAGCCTACTAACAATAACAGTATATGGATCATAATGGATGGCTAAAAAGGGCACTTATTGCCTTCAATAATGGCCAACAGGCCAAGGTGGTGTTTACCACTTAGGGATTTTTGGGTAAACAATTATTGATAAGTCTATTCATTAGCTTTGTAAAGTTTGTATGGAGCAAGGTAATGAGCTAAATATTGACCATTTAACTGGCTTCAATATACAAAAACACTTCAGGAATGCAGATCTTCTAAACATTGAAGAGTCACATAACAGATAGGTAGCTGATAGCACAGTGCACAGCACTATCAATAGATCTACTAGTTTTATGTCCTATAAATCTACCAGACTCTACCCTCTAAACACACTGACTAGTAGTGAATGAGTGACTGACTGCACTGTTCCCATTTAATTCAGACCAATAAGCCAATACTAAACATAAACTGAACGATAACCCAACAAACCTCATACGACTTGAAACAAGACTCAAGTTATGAGAAAAGCTAACACTCTTTGAAATGAACATGTGCACAATTCAAATATTTTATATCCATTTGCTGCATTTAATTATTTTACATTTAGTCTTTTAATTGTAATTGTTTTGTTTCTAGTTTTAAATTCACATATTTAAAGATTGAAATTAAATATTTTAATTAGAATACTCGTATTAGGGTGGAAAATCTTTCTAATTGCCTAAAAGGTCAATACAATCTCAACCTCTCAATATACAGGGTGGGGCGGAACCGATTGAGCAGTTTTGAGGTAAAATAAAAGAGTAATGGAGGTACATAAAGAAAAAAGTTTATTTTCCTAGAGGTTAGCATAACATACCATTTAGAAAACTTATGTTTTGAAAACAATATCTGGAAGATGGGGGCTGTTAGCAGCAACACATTTTTGGAGTCGTTCTCAAAGTAGGGAGTAACCGTAACAGTGAATTCTGATCGCTATGCTGCAATGTTGCAAAATTTCTTGCAGCCCATGATGGAAAACATTGTTGAAAATGAAGCATTGAAAGACGTGTGGTTCCAGCAGATGGGGCTACAGCTCACACAGCTCGAATGTCACTCCATGTTTTGAATCGTATGTTTCCCGTAGGTCTGGTGTCTCTGAGGGGCGATTTACAGTGGCCTGCGAGGTCACCTGATTTGAGCATTTACGATTTCTTTCTTTGGGGACATCTAAAAGAAAGGGGTTCAGAAGTCGCCCTCACACCCTACCACAGCTAAGGGGACGGATTATTGCAGCAGTGGTTATGGCCATACCTCGCCATATGTGTGAACGTGCTGTAGGAAACTTCCGAGAACAACTCCAACAGTGTGATACAGTTAACAAATCCCATCTTCCTGATATTGTTTTCAAAACATAAGTATTTTACATGGTATGTTATGCTCTTGAGGAAAATCAACTTTCTTCTTTATGTACCTCCATTACTCTTTAATTTCGCCTCAAAACTGTTCAATCAGTTCTGCCCCACCCTGTATAAGCTAACTAACACATTTAAATTGTATATTGTAATCGATATATAACAAATAGTCAAATAGTTGAAGACTACTTATAGCCTTGTATGAATTAGCTAAGCTGCTAGCTACGTACAATGTATTGAACACTTGATGCCTTTGTACCAAAAACATTCCATTTATTGGAACCTAATACACACTAAAGGCAACCAGTTTATATACCAATTTGTCATTCAAAGTACATTTATACTAAACCATGAATAACAATACTTCAATATAAATTAAAGACTGCCACTCAATATATTTAAATATATGAAAAAATTAAAAAAATCTAAAAAATAAATAAATCATGTTTTTTTATAAAAAATCAAGTCATTTAATCACATGATTTAATCATTGCCAACCCTGCTTTGAGCACCATGATTGTAATATGAACCACTATTTTGAGAATACCATCTTGTGGGCAATATTAACCATTAATTTTTCTCAGTTTGAGCGTAATGATGTAATTTGTGTTCAGATACAACCTGTATGATCGCGCCCCCCTGAGCACCCTGAGCGTGGGCGCCGTGGAGCAATACTACCGCCACCTGCAGACGCTCGCCTCCGTCGTCACCGACCAAGATGCCGGCGTCTGGCTCAAGCTCCAGCCAGGTTATATCTTTTATTTATACTTAACATTCATATTTCCATGTTAGTTAACCTTTATTCATACTTAACATTCATATTTCTATGTTAGTTAACCTTTATTCATACTTAACATTCATATTTCCATGTTATTTAACATTCAAAAACTTGTTTTAATGCCCAGACAGGTCACATCTTTTATTCATACTTAACATTCATATTTCTATGTTATTTATCCTTCAAAATTTGTTTAACGCCATTTTAAATCAAAATTCGTCCTGATGAATCATTGTTTATCACTTGTTAGGTGCGGGTTATGGTTGGCATTGATTTTTTTAAAGAAGAAAAAACTTTTTTTGTTGTTTTAAGCATTTAAATTCATCATGATGAATAGACTTCCAACATCGTCTAATCCGGGTTTTTCTATTTCTCATTTGTCTTTCTGACCACTTGTTACCGTGGCCACATTCCTTTTCAGTGGCCCTGCAGCAACAAATTATTAATTACTGATGAAATCAAACACGAATTAAAGTTAATTGTTTGCAGGAAGATCAAACAAAAATTAAAGTTATTTGTTTTTAGGTAGCGTTTTGTTCGTGGACAACTGGCGTGTGCTGCACGGCAGGGCGGCGTTCTCAGGGCCCCGCTGCTTCCTCGGCTGCTACATCAGCAACGATGACTACATCAGCACACTGCGTACTGTGATGCAGCTCAATGTGATGAAGTGATGACTACATCAGCACACTGCGTACTGTGATGCAGCTCAATGTGATGAAGTGATGACTACATCAGCACACTGCGTACNCTCAATGTGATGAAGTGATGTGTGGTGCAGCTCAATGTGATGAAGTGATGTGTGGTGCAGCTCAATGTGATGAAGTGATGTGTGGTGCAGCTCAATGTGATGAAGTGATGTGTGGTGCAGCTCAATGTGATGAAGTGATGTGTGGTGCAGCTCAATGTGATGAAGTGATGTGTGGTGCAGCTCAATGTGATGAAGTGATGTGTGGTGCAGCTCAAAGTGATGCAGTGATGTGTGATGACTATGATATGTGGTGCAGTGCATTTCTATATTATTGCTAATATTCAATCAAAATAATGTGTCGTAAACTTTCAACTGTTATTGTTATCACAAATATAGCTGCAACTATTGTTATTCTTAAAAGCATTATTACTTTTATTATTGTAATAGCCGAGTTTTTGATAAATGTTTAGTGCAGTTGCCACTAGTTTGCTACTGTTGCCACACACCAGCCACCATTGTGCTTAAAATTGTACTCAATATGTTACTTATTAGTTCATTTTTAATTATGTTACTTATTAGTTCATTTTTAATTATGTTGCTCATTATTAGTTTATTACTTATTATGTTACTTATTAGTTCATTACTAACTATGTTTCTCATTACAACTTGCGTTACTTATTATTAGTTCATTACTCATTATCTTACAAATTACTAATTATATTATTCATTATTAGCTCAGTACTGATTATGTTACTCATTACTAGTTATGTTACTTTTTAATTGTCGCATTTGTTGGAACGTGAACATTATTTTCTATACTCATTTATGAAGATTTGAGTTCCCTTTAAATGAGTACAAAAATCGGTTATCCTTTGCCAGACTTCATAAAGCGGAACTTTCGAGAAAGTACTTGTTTATTTCATTATTGGTTTGTAGAACACATAATTGTTATATGCTTCTTTTAATTCAAGAATAGCATCATCAAATCATGTAATCAAATCATGGCAAATCATGTAATTTTAGTTGCGTAAATTGACTCTCTCTTCCTAAATCTACCTGCACTGAAATAAATGAGGATAATTTATTCTAAAAGTTGAGCAATTTATGCCCTTGTGAGGGTCATCCTGACACTTTTTAGCCTTTAAAAAAATGTATTAGATCAATGTGCAGAAAGTGTGTCACTTTTTGGACACCCTGCATTTCTTTAAGTGTATAAATTTTGATGTTCACTCAAATGTGATCCGAAAATTCATATGTGAATTTCACTTGAGTTAAACTCGAAAACATGACAAACATTTTTACGTTTTTAAAATTTTTTTAAGTTTTTTAACATTTTTGTAAAATAAATAAAGGGAATAAAACAAGATTCCTTTTATTAATCTTATATTTGAAACATCCTGTGTGGGATTTTGAACGGATTACAGAAGATTCATTTAAACGAATCTAACCTGTTATTCCAACACAGATGCTTTGTAAGCCTGCTCTTCAAGCTCATCCTGATTTATACATATATTCTAATATTTATCATTTCGCGTCAAAACTGTTAACAATAATTAAATTAAAGCTCATTATTATCAAAGACCTGACCATAGTGATAGATTACGACATACGTATATTCTCGTTATTAAGACATACACAATAAACTTTAGCACGCGGATATTTGGCATCATATTGCAGGTACGCTTGGCTACATAAATATTGATGAGAACTTAAGCTAACGATTCCTTGAACGGAACACATTAACTATTCTGTGGGTTTTGCGAAAAATTGATTTTACGATCCTGTTTTCTGCGACTGATGCCTGATGACGTTTATTCACATTAAAATGGTATGGTAACGTTACAATGATAAATTTATGAGCTCTTCACGATCTAAGGCACAAAAAATTGGTAAAAATTGTTTTACTTACAAATCGACTATTGATAATCCATCATATATTTAATATAGAATTACCACAGTGACAAGAAATTCAACAAAAAAATGTACAGAAATGAGCAGACAGCGATTATGGCGTTCACTAAGGATGAGAACTTGAAAAGCGACTCTTGGTATTGACATACTCTTAAATTTATATGTTTTTTAATGGTTTTCTATAAAACTTGCATTACTTGAATTCGAACACAAACAAGTTATTATATCCAGTCTACGGCGAAACAACGGCCAACTTCATGGGAAGTTTTTGTTTTACATTCATCGGCCGACCTTTTCTGTCTATGACGGCGGACGCGAAGCTAACGATTCCGGCTTGCTGTTTTATCTGCTTCGATGGCTCCGAATTTGGACTCCTTGTTCCATTTTTATAAGAGTTGGCATATGGGGAAAGTCCATTTGGTGCACAAGTAACTGGAGGAAGTCCTTTTGGTCCACAAGCAACTGGAGGAAGTTCCTTTGGCGCTTTCACTTTTTTTCCTCTCATCATCGTGCTTCTAACGGCCTGGAACCTTTGCTTCACCGACATCTTATAGCCTGCGTTTGCTGTGCCTTCGTCGTGCTGGACCTTCAAGAAGTTTGTTGTTCCCCTCACGAAGTCCTCTGCCTTTGGGTACTCAAGGGCTGTGCACGACACTGCAGAGCCTGTATACCCTACAAGTTTGTTGGCAGTTTCAATTGAAAAATTTGATTTCGAATCACTCTCATCAAAATGTGCTGGATGTGTAGATTTGTGTGAGCTTAGTAGGTTGGGCATACTTACCATGGGGGTGAGGGTTGCTGTGCGATTTTTGCAGGTTGGACTAACTTCGTGCTGTTTTTCTTCCATATTTTTTTTTTGTATTGGAAATTCATGCCCAGCTTCATCATATTTCTGTAAGATCTCTATCAGTTCTTCGTTAGTTATCTCTCTATAGATCGTTAATTTATTCGCACGACTCACACATGCACCAAGGTACTTGTCAATCAATTTCTGTTTCTGCATCAGCCGTTGTTCTCTTTCTGCAAGATCTTTCTCTTTTTCTTCCAGTTTACATTTAAGAGTTTCTAAACTCTTAGCCTTCGTTTCTAAGGCTGCTTTTTCTGCCTGCATTTCAAGCTCATTTCTTCTTTTTTCTTCGACGACCAAGGCTTGGTGAGCGCGAAGTTCTTCCAACTTCTGCTCAAAGCGAAAAGTTTCGCCCAAAGACGTAGGCGATTGCAAGTTTTCGCTCAGCTCACCCAACTTCACGGCTGTAGCGAGAAAACTTTGTTCTTCAGTTAAATATTTCTCGATGGAGTGCAAGAGAGTTTCGCTCCCACAGTTAGCACTCATTTTCAAAGTGAGCGCGTTAGACTTGAACTCGTCCAAAAGGACGCTGCCTGCGTTTGCAGCCTTCTTCAGGCTCACCATCAGTAGTTCCTGCGCCTTGTGCACATTACTCTTGAAGTCTTGCCGCCTTTCCAGTGATGTCAGAGTCTTGCGTAGCGTCGCTTCTTTTGTGCAGTCTTCGACCTTTTGAGCGAAAGTTTCATTTGACAACTCAATGGCATTTTGAAGCTCATCTCTCATTGCCTGGCGCATTCGCCATTCTTTTTCTTCGGCAGCTTTGATGGCATCGCATAATTTTGTATGAATAATATTCCTAGTTGAGCAGTTTTGAGTATAAATCTCAAGCATTGCCATCCCCATTTTCGTTGAGAACAGAAATATCGAATTCTTTGTCCCGGCATTGTCTCTCACTACCCACGAATACAAGGGTACCACGTTTTTTTCTGAGTGAGTGCTATAGAACTGGTATTTATTCCAAGATATTTCTTGTACGAATATGAGCACATCGTCGAATAAAAGCAGCTGAACATTGGTTGATTTCTGTGAGTTGTGGAATATGTCAACCTGCTCGTGATGAATCAAATGCCTTCCATTGAGAAGTTCATCCCTTGTAAACTTAGTACCGTTGAACATCATGGTTGATCTTGAGTCGATTTTGACGTGAAGATTTCGAATGAAAACATCTTTCTCTAATTCATCAACAATACTGTTGACTGACCTGAGGATTTCCTTCACTTTCGCATATGATTGGGAGACAAAATCTTTTTCCTCTTGAGCTTCGTCTTTTGAATGTTTCAGAAGAGAATCCAGTTGTGTCTGGAACTTGGTAAGTCTCAAAGGCACCGCCGTGACACACTGTGGAGTAGCGGTCGGTATTTCTTCCATTGATCGCTTGCAGTAATGCGAGAGCAATCCATATGATTGATCCAGCATCGAGTCCTGAACGTTCGTCAAGAATGTCAAGAGAGTCTCTCCGATTTTATCGATGAAAACACCATCGCCTTGCTTGTTTTTCAAATTAATCAGGAAACTATAATGTTCATTGAAGATCTTATCAATATGATCTTGTAATGCGACATCTTTTCCAATGATTACCTTGTAATTCTTTTGATGGAAGAGCTTTGACAATTCAGTTATTAATTTACAGTGAGATCTTTCGGTTTGGATGATCTCATATATGTCTCCTTGCCGCTTCTTCTGATCAAGAGTGTGCTCGTCTGTCAGGAAAGTTAAAATATGATCCGGTGTCAAACCGGGCTCTTGCAAAGCGGTATCATCACGAGTTGAACTTGAAAATTGAGCATACTCAATGTTTGACGGTTTTGAAGAGTTAAACATGCCTATGATGTTTCGCAGCGATCCCTCGGAGGTACCTTTCAGCTTGTGTTTCGTTATGTTAGTGTCACTCTGAGCCGTCTTCAGTTTTGCCCATTTTTGAGTATCCGGTCGTACTGACTTCTGGATTACAGCGTCATAATTTGGGCACGAATTGCTCCTTACACTGCTGGTTAATTTCGAGTTTCGTTCAAAGTTTTTACTTTCATTTCCGTCTTCGTCCATTCCGTTAGGCTCAAAAATCTTATGTGAGCTTTCACAGTCTAAGTCTTGACTCACTTCGACTCCAAGTGCCAGCCGCTCCGTGGAGATTCGGGGAGACGAGTCACTACTTGAGCCGGTATGAAGGAGACTCTCACTAGACTTTGACAAACCCTTGTTCGCGAATTTCCAAAAACTCGAATTGGGACTTGATTTTCGAGTTTTTCTCTTGCTCTTTTTGC